ATTGTTGGTGTCTTTGGGAGGAATAGCGCCCCATTGTTGGTGTTACTGACAGGCATTATGCCCCATTGTTGATGTCAGTTGGAGGAATAGTGCCCCAGGGGTCAAAACAGGCAAGCAAAGGTCTCCATCTGGCCCCCAGGCTGCAGTTTGGAGACCACTGCTCTAAAGTATACAATCAGTGGATGTCTGAAAACTGATTCTTCTTTGTAATTTTTGAGAATTAATAACTTCACAGTACATGCAGCCAGAGAGGTCAGTAAAGGCTTGTTTTAAAGCTTTTATACTGCGTGTTAGGTATATGTAAATCATTTAATGTTCATAGTCTTGACACCGGTGCATTTTAACATAAACATGTGAAAAGTAAACTAGCTGCCATTGGTTTTGTCCTACATAACATTTTCCCTGCAATGTTCTGGCTGTCAGTCAACCTAAAAGAGGACCAGCACTGAACTACAAAGTGAGGAGTATGTAGAGATCTACATTAGAGAAGAGAAGAGTGCTGTAGCCAGAGCTGTTTTTTTTTTTTTTTTACGTGCTGGGTCACTAATTTTCTGTTTTTTTTGAGTTGGGCATTGGAGTCTGGAAGCTGTGCTAAAAAGTAGTCAGAGGGCAAAGGACTTGTCTCCTTACAGCAGATACTTCCCTATTACTGATTTGCCATGCCTTGTTCTTTGTGCAGGTGGACATCTTGATAGAGGCAGGGCTTTGTTTCTTCATGTCAGAGCTTCATTCAAGAAGAACAATGAGCAGCACAGTAGTGACATCACCAAATCTCACAGTAAATCTGGTGAAAGTAGGTCAGGGGCAGCAGTGCCTTAGATCTCACGTTGCAGATATGTGTAGGCATGGGAGTACCTCGGCACACTCACATACTAGGAAGTACACTGCTATTTTTCAGGAAGAATTTCAGACAAAATATACATTTTTAGGGGTACTATTTAGGCACAATTAACATTTTTAAACATATCACATCTTCCTAAACATGTAACACTTCTCCAGAGCTACACCTCTCTTACATGCTGTGCGCACCCAGGTGCTGGTTCAAAGAAGCTTGTCTCTGCTTGCCATCAAGAGATTAAAATGAAGAGAAAACCACAAGCCAATCTCTGATCCAAAAGCTCTTTACTGAAATGTTTACGGTACATTCCATCTTTATATACCTGTATAGGCCCAGGACTGCTCCTTTACGCGTTTCACCAAAGTGGCTTGAATGCATGGATTCGATTTCACCAAACTGTCTTGTAATCAAGACACTTTGGTTAAATGTGTTCAATCTCCTGAAAGCAAATCTTCACTTTTTTTTTTTTTTTTTAGTTCCAATCCATTTAAGAGAAAGCTAGTCTTACAGTAAAAACCTATTTTCACATTCTTTTTATCATCCTATACTTCACTGGAAATATGAAACTTATAGGCAGGTTGCTTTAGGCATACTGATGATCCAGCAAAAACTTTGAATCATTACACCTATTGTGACCTTCCTCCTCCGTTCTTACTTATAACTGTGTTAATTCAGACTTTCCATGCCCTGATGACACCGATAGACTTCCATCTCACTTCCATCTCCCTTCTGTGCGCAAAGCTCCTACTCCTTCCTGAATTTAATGGGGCACAAGTAAACGCTTGTGAACAAGCCCTCCGAGACCAATTGTACCCTTGAAATGTTTATGATATTGATTGTATAAATCATTCATTTTGTATACTGAATGTGCTTTCATGGCATGAATTTTCTCTGTGAAGTTTTTATGTGAAGTGTTCTTGCTTTATAACTCAACTTTACCTTTTTTTTTTTTTTTTTTTTTTTTAAGCCTTTAATTGAGTAACCATCTGCTCGGCCTTAAAGAAGCCATGTGTACATTGATTACAGGGTTCACGCTCCAACGTCCTCTACTGTATTTAGAACTTTTCCCTTTTTTTCATGCTGGCTGCCTGTTTTAAGCTTTGAAATTTGCCTTTTTTAATTTACTGAAGTATGTTAATCTACACAGATGCATCTCTGTTGGCTTGGCAGCCTAAACATATCTAAAAAGCAGTAAGCGGCTTGCAGATTTGGCACGCACGGTTAGTCATACATCATGCTTATTCTGAAGCTCTGTTGCAAATGGTAGATGGCAGCACCCGGTAAATGTTCCCTCTGGTGCGGCCACCAGGAGATTTCCAGTTTGTACAATAATCAGAACGGACCAGATGGCGATGAGTCATGTTATCTTCTCTCCATCAATGTTTGGCTTCACAACTTCCAATGATTTAAACTTGCATTATGATGTACACTTTTTTTGCCATTTTGAATAATGCTGCATTCTGTTCCATCATCTTGTGTAATGTATCTACAATGACGAAGGGAAAAAAATCAAAGCCGAGTATGCAAAAAAACCCCCAAAACAAAACAAAAAACTACTACTACTGGCCTAATATTTCCAGTGATTTCTATCAATGGCTTTCTTACCTTGTGTAGTATGTTTGAATCCTAATGGGATGATTTGTAATTCTGCTAAAGAAGGACAGTTGAGCCTCTACTGAAGCTATCACTGTGTATCTCTGGCTCAGAACACCTGAAATGAAATCAGAAGCCTAAAGCCGCATGTTTGTTCCCAGTCAGTGACTCACTTGGTAGTAATGAAAGCCATTAGATAGGCTTGACAGCCAGAATACTAGACTAAAAAGTCCACAATGGCAGCTCGTTTATTAAGGATTTTACTTAAAGCCCAACTATAATCAAAAGTTTTAATACATTTTGGATTGAGCAGGAAATGGCGAGAGTTTCTTTTTGAAATTTTATAGTCGTCTGTGTTGGTTTTGGGGTGCTGCTGAAATCTCAATGTGTTACCATAATAATGGAATCTTCTACTCTTCCTACCAGTCCATCCCCCACAGTTACTACCTTTTGTACCATCAGCCCCTCCATCCTAGATTGTAAGCTCCAAGGATCAGGCCCTCCTATCCCTCTTGTATTGAACTGTATTGTTGCTGTATTGTCTCCCGTTTATATTGTAAAGCGCTGAGCAAACTGTTGGCGCTATATAAATCCTGTATAATAATAATATTAATAATAAGTTACCAGCGCACACCCAAAAATGTCCAAGCAAAAGGATTTATTATTGACATGTAAAAGCAAAAGTGCAATATTTTGGTGCTTCAAAGGATCACCCTTTGAGGACCAAGGGACGTATTTGTCCCATGTTTTTAATTGCGTGTATCATCTGATTAAGAACTTAAAACTTTCTTTTTTTTTTTTTGTTTGAGTCAAAATATTAGTTCTTATCAACAAACAACAAATGGATCTAGCTTTTTGCCAATTATTAAATGGCTTAGTTACAGAAACTGAAGTGTACAAACTTTAAAAACAAAAAAATTGATTCTTTTGGCGTTCCAAAATCTTACGGTCCTCAAAGGGTTAAGGCAATAATTACAAGATACACTTTTCAAATGTACTTATAACACATTGAGGCTATTGTAGTTTCTTCACAATGGATCTATCCATTGAGGGTTATTTAAGCACCCACTGTGCTTGGTTGGTGCACTGTAAGATATTCAGCTTTGGCTATGGGAGGACAGGACCACCCAACAGGGACTCTGGCACTTTTCAGCAAAGTAATATGTTATGTGAAGTAGACTGTTGACTTAGGCAAAAGACTGAATCCATGAGCAGGAAAGTGGTTTCTTGTACGTATCTCATGTGTAGCGTAGATGTAAACCCCAAGTGAATGATGTTTACAAAATGCATAACCAATTACCATTTTTTTTCCTTCTCCCCCTCTTTCATCCTTTGTTGCATCACAGTGCTGCTGCCCTCTTCTAGCTTCCTTGATACCCCTTTCTGTTTGCATGCAAGGGCTCCAGTGTTGGCTGCCTGGCATTTCTTAGAGTGGATTTTCTGATGCTGACAACCATGCCCACATAATGTGTGTTGAAATGGCCACTTGTAGTCTCCATTGGAACTAGTGTGACAGGATGATAATGCACAAGCACAATTTGGGGACAGGGACATAGTATTGTATAATGTGTATATATATATATATATATGTGTGTGTATATATATATATATATAAAACAGGAAGATCTTCAATAAGGACCTTTATGACAGGATCACCGATATTATACTAATAAAAGCTGCATACATGTAATCATTTTAGATAGTAGTTGAAGTTAAAGTGTTCCTAAACCCAGTAAAATCAGTCTGTATATGCAATAAAGCATGCTTGATATACTCATTACGGAATCTAAGGGGTTAATCTTCTGCATTGTGGAAAAAGGATGTTTGATCCCTTCTTCCAGTGTACCCCTCTTATCTTAAGATAAGACATATAATGTGGAGACACTGTGCACATGCTCAGTTTGGTGTGTATTGCTGGAAAGGTTTTTTTTTTTTTTCTTGGGAGAGTGCATGTGATCAGCAAAGGGCCAGTCAGCATTGTACAGACAGAGGTCAGGGGTTCTGCATCCTCCTAGAGCAGAAAGAAAACTCCTCCTACAAGCTTTAATCAATGCTCGACTGGACACTGATAGAATTCACAAGACTTCTCTAACTGCTGATGAGAAAAGGTAATTAGCCGTTTATATTTACTAAAATAATTGCATTTCCATGTGTTGTGTGTACTGTGGGAGCCTAGATATAGTAAATACAGGGCCCGGGGTTTAGTAACACTTTAAATAGTGTGCAGAAGAGATGTTTTCAATCTACATTTAAGCATAATTTTATAATATGGATGAGCGGATCTGCCCGGATCCGATGTGTGGGGGTGGGGTCAATTGAATCCTGCTTGAACTCCACAAAACCTTAACTTATGACCCTCTGACTTTTATTGTTTAGAAATCAGCAACATACATAAAAACAAGACTGCTAATGTGTTTCGACTTTGCAGCCTTCATCACAACTGCTCATTATGTTTAAGACTTGAAAGGCGATACACATTAGCATTCTTTTCATTAAAGTGTTACTAAACCCCGGACCCTGCATTCACTACATCTGGTCTCCCAGGACCCTACATTCACTATATCTGGTCTCCCCGGACCCTACATTCACTATATCTGGTCTCTCCGGACCCTGCATTCACTACATCTGGTCTCTCCGGACCCTGCATTCACTATATCTGGTCTCCCCGGACCCTGCATTCACTATATCTGGTCTCCCTGGACCCTACATTCACTATATCTGGTCTCCCCGGACCCTGCATTCACTATATCTGGTCTCCCCGGACCCTGCATTCACTACATCTGGTCTCCCAGGACCCTACATTCATTATATCTGGTCTCCCACAGTACACACAACATGGAAATGCAATTATTTTAGTAAATATAAACTGCTAAATACCTTTTCTCATCAGCAGTTAGAGCAGGCTTGTGACATCTATCAGTGTCCAGCAGAGCACAGGTTAAAGCTTGTAGGAGTTTTCTTTCTGCTCTAGGAGGATCGAGAACCCCTGACCTCTGTCTGAACAGTGCTAATTGGCCCTGTGCTGATCACATGCACTCTCCCAAGAAAAAAAAACCTCTCTAGCAATACACACTAAACTGAGCATGTGCATGTGACTACGGGTTCAGTCTGTCTCATCAGGAGATAAGATGTGGACATTTGAACAAGAGGAGGGAAAGAGAAGACAGGATCAAATGGCCTTTTCACACAATGCAGAGGATTAACCCCTTAGGTTCCACAGTGAGTATAACAAGCATGCTTTACTGCATATACAGACTGATTTTACTGTTGTGGGTTTAGAAACACTGTAATTTATGTTGGTGATTTTTACACCGTATAGCCAAACACCAGTATTTTATATTTCTTGGAGCATATTGTGGTTAGACAAGAACCCAGCTGTTGAGTCAACACTCTATGACCTCTATAGGTGGAGATGTAGATTTCTCTTTGTGTGTGTCAACACAGGAAAACCACCAATCATATAAATAACATGCTTTGGAGATGCCAATAGGCTGTAAGTGGTTTTCTGGAAAAAGTAATTTTTTTATGGACAGTGTCAGCTATGCCATATTCTAGACGTGTAATTGCTTTTTTATCTTTTGCATTTAGCTTGGTTTAAATAGCACAAAAGCACCCTAATCTGATTCATTTTAACTTGGGAAAAAACATTTTTGTAGGTAATTGTGGCTGCAAAACCTGATTTTTTTTTTTTTTTTTTTTTTTTTTTTTTTTTTTTTTTAATCCAGCAGTAGTAGGCCTGAATTAAATGGTGAAAGTAGCAGCCAGGACAGATCTAAAAGCTATCAGAGAGTTTACTTTTGCAGTGCCATGCAGAATCACGACAATTCTGCCCACAATTCAAAATCATGAAGTGTGACTGTAGCCTAACTGATACAATCAATACTTTTCTTTTTTTTTTTTTTTTTTTTTTTTTTATACGTTTAGCTTGGAAAAGATCCATCACTTCATTAAAAGCACCCACACCCTCCAAAGTCAAATTGCCTGCAAAGGTGATTTTAAAAAAGTTGTTGCTAAAAAAAGAAAAGGAAATATTTACTTGCCTTGGGTCCTGCTTCCAATGCTACCAGGAGGTGCGGGTGATGTCACTTTGCCTCAATGCTGCCTCCAGAGATAACTGGACACTTGAAATTTTACAAGAATGTACTCAAGCCCTTTGCAGGGATGCATTTCTGTGTAACCACCTATCTATCCTGGGAGGCAGCGGTGAGGTACAATGACATTTAGCTGTGCCTCTTGGAAGCCAAGGTATTGTTTTCCTTTTATTAGCAAAAGCTTTATTTTTAAGATGCCTTTGAAGGCAATTTCTGTCTTTGGGGATGGGTAATTTCAAAAGATCTTCTAATTTAATGGAAAAAGTTCTGTAAAAAAAACAATTTCAGGCAGAAGCAATTAGGAAATATGTCCTGTGAAAAAACACATGCAGCCTGTTATCACTGTAGTGTGTGTGTACAGGGACAGGCTGTAGAGGCTGCAAAATATCAACAGCAGTGGGATATAATGAAGGATGAAAAAAGGTATGATCTCTACCTCCAAATACTGCAAGATAAATGGCATTTTGCCATCTAAAAGACATTTAAAGCGGAGCTCCACCCAAAAGGGGAAGTTCCGCTTTAAGCCTTTGTCCCCCGCTCCCCATTAAGGATTGGCACCTTTGGGTACCCGAATTTGACAGGTACTCGCTCCCACTTCCGCTGCGTTCACCTAAGCAATCTGAAGCGGAAGTTGTCCTCCCTCCCTATAGTCTTCTGGGACACGTGACAGATCCCAGAAGACTACGGGGCCATTCAAAAAGCGCAGTGCTTCTCACGCATGCACAGTGGGCACCCAGCTGTGAAGCCACTGTCACAGCCGGGTGCCCACATTGAAGATGCAGTGCCGGGGAGAGAAGACGGCCGGTGAAACCAGCTGTGGTGAGGACATCAGTGGACCTAGGGACAGGTAAGTGTCTGTATTTTAAAAGTCAGCAGCTACACTTTTTGTAGCTGCTGACTTTTATTTTTTTTTTTTCAGGTGGAACTCCACTTTAATACAGGTTTACATCTACTTTGTCAGCCCTGCCAGTGCCTACACATTTTTTTTGCTTTGTCTTTTAAGGATTTTTGCTGTAAAAAAGTTTCAGTCTTTATGATGGAGTCATCTTTCAGGATTCAGGATATCTTTTAGACTGCTTCTTGCTTCTCTGAAGTCTGCCAATAAAAAAAAAACTACTACTGCTACACCCTTACCTACAGCACATGGTTGTCCAAAATCCTCTTTCCCCTGCTTCCTGTAGCATCACTTCCTGTCCTGAGCTCATGAACCAGTCCATGAGTTCATTAGCATATAAATAGGGGAGGCCTAGCTTCCAAAAACAACATATGTACTAAAATGTTATTCCATATATATCTATATCTTTATCTAAATAAAATAAGATAACGATAAAAATCTGCAAAATAGCCACAGAAACACAAGCCCTACACTAATCTCTTCCTAAGCACTTTATTAGCAGCATGCCCTATCCTTCTGCCCGCCATATAAGGAAATGATGGGTGGGGGCATCTCTCTCGTTCTGGCGGCGATCGGTGGGCCACATTGGATCACCGATCCGAGTAAAGAGCCAATGACACAGGCTCTGCGATGTGATCAGCTGTGTCCAATCACAGCTGATTGCATGTAAACAAGGAAATACCAGTTATCGGTAGTCCTCTCCTCAAGCTGACAGTGCGTGCCACCTGTTAGTGCCCATCAATGCCACATACCAGTGCCCATCAGTGCAGATCAGTGCCTACCAGTGCATACCAATGCCACATATCAGTTCCCATCAGAGCTGCCTAACAGTGTCAACTATCAGTCAGTCAGTCAGTGCCCCCTATCAGTGGCAGTCAGTGATGCCTATCAGTGCTGCCAATCGTTGCCAGTCAGTGCCGCCTATCAGTGCTGCCTAACAGTTCCAATCAGTGCCACCTATCAGTGCCAGTCAGTGCGGCCTATCAGTGTCACCTGTCAGTGCCATATATGAGTGCTGCTTTTCAGTGCCCATCAGTGATGCCTGTCAATGCCCACAAATGATGCCTACCAGTGCCTCCTCATCAGTGCCACCTATCAGTGTCCATCAGTGCAGCCTATCGGTGCCCATCACTGCAGCCTCATTAGCGCACATCAGTGAAGGAGAAAAATTGCTTATTTACAGAAATTAAGAAAAAACTTTTTTTTTTTTTTTAATTTTCATTCTTTTTAGTTTTGTTTAGCAAACAATAAAAAATCCAGTGGTGATTAAATACCACCAAAAGATAGCTTTATATGTCTGAAAAAAAGATACAAATTTTATATGGGTATAATGTTGCATTATCGCTTAATTGTCATTCAAAGTGCAACAGCATTGAAAGCTGAAAATTGGCCTGGGCAGGAAGGGGGTGAAAGTGCCCCGCAGGCAAGTGGTTAACCTAAGTTCAAAGGCTAAGCAGTGCATTATGGGTATATAGCAAATTCCCTCATTAATTTCCTGGGTCTGCAAACCATGAACACACAGGATTTGCTGCTAACCCTTGATAGCAGCAAACCGGATCCTCATCCCTGCTATTCTTTACCAGTGTGATTCAAGTTATGTTTTCTTTACCAAACAATAGTAGAGAACTCACACCAATTATATAGATATTTTCTCTCTTGTTTGATGCTGTGATTTATACAACAAAATCTGCAGCCATTTTACTCATTCTTTCTCTATAATTGCTGTCAAGACCCTAGTTGTAAATCAGGAAATTATTTCTGAATGTTTAACAATTTCCTATAATTAAAATCACATCTCAGCTCTGTCTTAGTTAGAAGATTGCACATTTGAGAACATTTTTCTCCTCTGTGCACAATGGAACTGCACTCAACAATGTCATCTGTGATGTTAATTCTATTCTGCAGTTACTTAAAGGACATACAGAAACATTTGCAGGTTCAATTGGGTGTTAGTGGAAAACTAACTGTACCGTCAGCTTGGGGACTTATTCTTTAGGGGGGGGGGGGGGGTAGCTTTTGCTCTTTAAATACCAACTTCAGCCAACTAGAGTAATCTATCATTCAGGTATTGTACATTTTTTAAAATGTGCTTTACTATTCTTTTAAAAGAGGGGGGAGACCATAGAGTCAGCTTGCTTAAAGAACAGCTAGATCAGTGATGGTCAACTTACTTGACATAGGAGACCTTAAAGGCAGTCTCTGACATCACCAAAGCTCCTCACATTATATTCAGTGTATTGAATGCTATAGAAAGCTGTCAGGGACTGCGGGTATGCGACAGGAGATGGTCAGAGATTGTGGGCATGATACAAGAGATGATTAAAGAATGCAAACATACAAAAGGAGATGGTCAAAAACTATGGGCATGTTACAAGAGATGGTTAGAGAATGCAGGCATGGTGAACAATATGGTCAGAGACTGCGGTTATGATATAAGAGATGGCTAGAGAATGCAGGCATGCAAAAGGAGATGGTCAAAGACTACAGGCATGCTACAGAAAATGGTTAGAGAATGCAGGCATGCTGCAAGAGATGGTCAGAAACTGTGAACATGCTATGACCGTTGTTAGGGACATGCTTCAAAGTCATAGATTGAAGACAAATTACAAGAGACTACTAGAGATCACTGCTATTGCATCAAATTTACAAATCACTGCTTTCATGTTTGCACCTCCTCCCTCTTAAAAAATGTCTTTGAACACGTGATATTTTTTTCAGTAAGCTATATGATAAATGTTCAAAAAAAACCCCATACAAATTTAAAAGGAGATACACAAAACGAGTAATGCAGTTAGCAAGTAAAAAACAGTCTAAAGAATATTTTTCCTTCACTGCCTTGAGTAAGCTCTAAAACATAGACTACTATCTGCAAGAGCCCCAAGGACAATACGGTAAGCACCGAAGGGCCCCAAGGCTGCAGGTTGAGCACCAAGGAGCTGGATGGAAAATATGAATACCAGGCTGGAAATGCCATTCTTTAATTATATAAGTTGTATCTGCAGTCAGTTTAAAAGAAACATGTTCCTGTCTAACTGACCTGCGCCTTTTATTCAAATGTATTTATTTTATTTCAGAATAAAATTGGTTTGCTATGTGCTGGTGTAATGTAATTGCTGTATACAATAGAAATGCAGTTGCCATAATTGTGAAAGCATCAGAAATGTGGTGTCAAGTGCCTGGTATTATTGAATCCAACAAAAAGCTGGGCGGATTCAGTTTTGATCCTTTTAGTATAGGGGCTGTAGGTCTGTGATTCTGAGGGGTTAAAGTGTATGTAAACCCTAACAATGAACTTATCTTATTTGCTTTTGTAGCACTAACCCCCATAGGAGTCGCTGAGAATATACCCAGGTCTCCCGCAACAGAGATTGCCAGTCGCAAGCTTTGTTCCATGCACGCTGACAATAAAGGCTTAGTCTTGGGATGTCTTTTTACTATTTATTGCTGAAAAACTTGAACAGGAGAGAGGTTTAGGGTCACAGGATACATCAAATAATAGCAATCAATAGGCCTGTCTCCACACTAAATCCTCTTAACTGCTGTCACAGATGAAAGTCCTAAACCAGGTCCTACTCATAGTGTCCCAGAAGCTTCCACCAGGAGATCCTCAGTGAGGAAGATGAGAGATCCTTCTCCAGACCAGGACATGGACAATGTCTCCATCACTGATCCTTTAACAGTCTTCTTCAGGCCCTCAGCTCAATTCTTGCTGATACCCAGCAAGAAACCAGGTAGTTTTGTGTAGCACTACCCCTGTAGGAGTTGCTGAAGATTTGTGTCCCCTTATAGTACTGCACAGCCAGGCAACATGCATTTTCCACAGACTTGCATTCAGAGTCAGTAAACAGTCCTGAAGCTTGTTTTTAAGTTTTATTAAAGGGTGTTAAAATTGGATGGGGTAAGTTGGCTATGGGATGTCCAATGGAACTCCAAACCAAGGACAAACTCCTTAGCAACTATGTACAAGTCTTTACACAGCAGAACCTCTTCTTGGAGAGCTATCTGGCCTCTCCTGGTGTACCACCCTAGACCCCAGATAATCCTCTTCTTATCCAGCTTCCTGAGGGAATCCCTGGGCAAGGGAATCCAGTGCCTGCCACTTTAAATGAAACAGTCCCAGGTAAGGAGCTAATCAGATTTCCCACCAGAATACTCTTTTTCCCTTAACTGGCCCAGGGGGGGAGGCTGCTCATTCAGTCTCAGACTTGTAGATTTAGGTAGGTGGCTACCTTCATGCCTTCCGCTGGACTGGCTCCTTTCCTGGCTCTACAGGTGGTCATCGCTCTGGAGACTGGTGAGGCTGAGTGATACCCCTTTCCAGAACCCTGCCTGTAGGTAAGCCACTTACCACTGGGCCCCTTCCCAGACTCGTGCATCTAAGCTTCCTTCAATCTTCCACCTTAACTCTCCTGCCCCTGAGCATGCTCAGTCAGTTTAAGGGCTGTCCTGACCCCATGCCAAGTCTCCTGCTTGGAGATTGGCCAGGATCCCTTAAGACTGCAGACCAGCCCTTCCTCACCACCGCCCCCTGCTTCTAGAATCTTTTCCAAGATTCTAGAGAAGGGGGAAGTATCAAGGAACTGATCTGCCTCTCGGCCCTGACCCAAACTTGACCCAGCTGACTATTTCCCAGGCTGCTACTCAGCCCTTTTTACTGAACAATAATCAGCTAGCTCCCCCTGGCACCTAGAGGGTGCTACATTTTCTATCTTTTCCAGGCCCTCAGCCTAACTCCTGCTATAGCTCAGAATGCAATTCTTGACTAAGTTTATCATCTCCAAGGGCAGCAGCCCCAGGAGAACTGGAACCCTCCTGGCAGAGTTAGAACACTCTGGGAAGGTCTCACAAATAATCATCTCTCCAGCTACTTTCTGGACACCTCCCTCTAGGGATTGGCTGGAACATGATAAATATTCATTCTGGTCATTTGACTTTCCCCGCCCTATATTCTGGGAGCTTTTTCCAGAAGCGAGTGGGAGGAATTAAACACCCAGCTAGGAAGCCCTGACCAGACGAAAGCAAAAAATCAATGCTCCACTGACTAGAGTGAAGTCAAAACTAAACTTAGCCAAGCAGCCTAACTAGAGGAAGGCACTACACTCTGTTTTGCTCTGTTAAATATACAATTGAAAGCATTTTGGTGTATCTGGTAAATAGGTGAAAAAAATAGGTCTCCAGCCTGCTTCTTCCAGGATAGAACAACATCCCACCTGCTTGTAGCTCTCTACCTCTGCCATATTGTATCCATTTCCTTGAGGTGTTCCCATGACATACCCGGCCATTAGCCCTTAAAAATCAAAGAAAGGAAAGTCCACACAAAAGATACATTTTCTACACTTTATTGATGTTCACACAGACATACAATCCAGGGTAGCTTGGCATTACTTTACCAGTCACACATATGGTGGACATACTGTGGCATTATGTGAAAGCAACACTTTGTACATCCCTCTCAAGCCATATTCTCTTTGGAACAGTCTCTGTCTCTTTTGCAGCAGTAGTGTTGAGACACAGCTCCCTGTATACTATATCTGTAGCATTCTGCTCGATTCAAAAGGGTGAAGCATCCTGCTCTCAGTCTAAATTCACAAAGTACCTTCTATAGTATACCAGTCCCCCCTTCCAAGTCCCACTCCATAGCCCTACCCAGCCGGATAAGCTCCCTGAAGTTATTCTTTCATTCCCAGAATCATTGGTACTTGACTTGCCCATTAGGCCTTATGCATCCAGCTCATGGCTTTCCTCTGATTGTTCCAGAGACAGGACTACTGCAGCAGCTCAAACTTAATTCTATACACTTCCCCTGGGATGTCTGCTCTAAGCAGGGCCTTGGCTGTGCTGACTTCATCTGCATTGGTATGGAGTAATTGGCTCCTATGACTCAATTGCAAATAGGCTCCTCCCAACCTGGCTTTTATATGGGCGCTGTCTACACCCATTACATAAATAAGGTAGGCAGTGGTGTATTTATTTCTTGTGCTGCCCCAGGCAACACTAAAATTGGGC